GGCGGGGGAGAAGGAGGGGGGAGGGGAGGGGTAAGGAGGACAGAAGAGGGGACAGAGAGGGAAGAGAGGGAAGAGAGGGGGAAATTATCTCCTCCCCCCACTAGAGAACTCCTGTCTCCTTTTCCCAGCAGACACTGCCGCATGAGTGCCTTCGTACGGAGCCAGCCTGCGGCGAAAGGCATTCAGCTATTTGTCCGAGAGGTTAATGAGCTCTAGTGTGGGTTTGTTTGTTTATTACTCCGCAAGGAAAAGCACCTTCTTTGGTAGTTTCTGGAAGCCAGAATTGGAAACAACTCCCCTACCCTTCTGGCTTTTCCCTTGACAGCATACTGCATGGGGGCCACCATGTAATCAAGATCTGAGTTCTGGGGGCCCCCATACCCAGGTGGGTGGGCACCCCTGGGACCCACTGGCTCTGGCTGGCCATGGCCCACAGATGGACATAGACACTGCTGCCAAAAGCCCAGCTGACAAACGTTTATCATGGATCTACTATGGGCCAGGCTCTGTCCCAGGTATGGGGATATCATCGTGGGTCTCTACTCTTCTTGAGCTTACAACAGACACAAGTTCTAATGACAACCCAACAGGGTGAAGGGATGGAGAGTGGCCAGGCACTGGCAGAAATCTCAGGTCAAGGCATGGGACCCTGAGGGGGAACCGGAACCTGTCACACCATTGTCTACAAAACCTGGAGCGATGTTGGCCTGCGGGGTCTTTCTTTGCCCCTCTGGGCCCCTGGTGCAGGAGCTGGGGACCTCGTCCATGGTAATGGCACTGACTTTAGGTTTGAACCAGTCCAAAGCTATCACTGGGAGCTTCACAAAAGAAATGGCATTGAAAGTGAACGGCAGAGATCTGCGTAGGTCATCCTTTTCACTCTCCATTTTCTATCTTTCCACTTGACCTATGACTGTGCAAACTCTATTCTGACTCCTCTTCAATCTTGGTGGTTTCAAGGCTGGAGGGTCTGGGAAGGGCTTGGTTTAAATGCTGGGAATGATCCCCGGGGAAAGGAAACAAAGGTCTTTCCAGCTCGCCTTCCTTCTTCCCCTGTGGTGCCTGTGTCCTCTGTCTTGCACTGACTCACAGGCTGGACTGACAAGGCGTTTAGTGAATGCAGGGCCTGGCCCTGAAAGCCCCCCAGGTGGGACCAACTTCCAAGGTTCTTAGAGAAGATTTGAGAACCATGCATCTTCCCCGACGTCTGCTGCTGGGCGAAAGGCTTTGGCTTGGGAAGAGAG